AAAAAAAAATCGATGAAAAGTTCTTTTAACCAAACCTTCAAAATATATTTATCAAAATTTTCAACTTTTTATTCAGAATTTCCAAAAAAACTTCTAGTATTCAGTTGTGCAGGTCATTCAATTCCAAACGGCAAAAAATTCCCGTTGATTTTTGAGATTTTTTTTTGTTACGGATTTTCGCATTTTTTTTCCATATAAGCATTAATTTCTTATGAAATAAAATACGGGAGACCGTTAGACACTAATTTTAAAAAATTAAAGCCAGTTTTTGTAAATTGCACTTGTTGTATAAAATCAATTTTTTAGCCGGTTTACACTTACACTGCATTAGAATAAAATTGAATTGGCTACAAAACTGCGTACTCTAAAATTTTCTAGAAATTATGAATAAAAAGTTGAAAGTTTTTTTGACAATTTTTATGTTCTTTTTATAAAGTGTGAAACTTTGATTTGTGTATATGGTTTATATTATAGAATAATAGTCATGGAAGCTGTTATGCTCCGCAGATGAAAAGTGAGGTGGAAACTATTCATAATTGGGACTACCTGGCGGCCTACTGCGTTGGGGATAAACCCAGGACATATGTATGTATGTACATATGTAGTGGTATTCAAGGAAATGAGGACGTATTCTACTGGAATATTAATGGAACACTAAGCCGCTGGCCATATGACCGCCAAGTGTGGGGACCATATAAAGATTCCTGATGGAGCTGCATGGAAGGGGAAGAGGTATAACCAATTCAGCACTTCCTGTGCGAATGCTATACACGCTGAAGAACTTAAACACATTGGGGAAAATTTCATTAAACGATCGGAATGATTTAAAGATATGTTGGGACACGGAAATTTTCTCCTGGGCATCACAATGGCCGGCTTAACTAAGAGCAGCCCGTCAAACCAATGCTAACCTCGACGCATACCAATGCGCATACATACATATAATACTAGATTATCTATATTAAAAACAAAAAATATCCACTGACAAAATTTTGCCGTCTTGAACAAATAAGAACCTCAGATTGGTCATTCATACAAATCAAAAATCAATCAGTAGGAACAATGACTCTGTCAGAGTTGCCAGTTCGCAAGATTGGTGAAATCATTTAAAATGCATGTCACGCATCGAGGTCTGGGCCAATGAAACCATTTACGGTTTACGCTGCGGCACTACCTGCTTTGCAAGGTGTAAACGTTTTCGCCTGATTAATTTCTTGGCTTTTATACATAAACATACATACGTACGTACATTCATAAGTAAATACGAAAACATAAATTAGCTAAATTTTTTGTTTAGTTTCCGACAATTTCTGACGTTTTGTTTTACATTTTGTTTAGCTTGTCGAATGAACTTTTTTTTTTTTGTAATATGTACATAGTTTTTTTGTTTACATTTATTACCTTTTTTGCACGCGTTCAATGAAACTTTAGTGCCGTTGGCTATGCATACACAGCAAATTGTTTGAATCAATTCACGTAAACAAATTATAAGAAAAAAAAAAATACCGTAAACGTGTACACAAAAATTGAAAAAGGAAGCTAATTAACCTGTTCGCGTTTTCCAAAAATACCAACAAAAAGTTGTTTACTCCCGTAAATAAATCAGAGCAAATCTATTTTGAATTGGTGATTTTTTTTTAGATTAAGAAACATTTTGTTTCTATCTGACATTTGGTTTGGACCCATTCTTTAATTTGAACATTGTGGAAAATTCTGTATATATATAAATATATACAAACATATGTATACATAAATATTCTTAGTTACCAAATATATGTATAAGTTCATAGAAGTCTGTATATTTCATTCTAAAATTTCGTTAAAAAACAATTAAGTTGCCCAGCCCAGTCAGTGCTGCCGCATTGACAGTTACAACTTCTAAAG